TTAATCTGAGGTTTAACCTTGCACAAAGACATAAAATTTAGTAACTTCAAAAGTTAAGATTCAAATGCAAATACTTGCTGTTAATTCCTTGTGCCTATTACCTCACCATCATTCTCCCATTTGTGCACAACTTGATGCAGCCTTACAGAACACTATGAAACTGTTTGAAAAGAAATGTCATCATAGGAATTCAAGGAGCAATATGCACTATTTCTATGAAACTGTAAATATGAATTTTGCTGCTGAATTTGCATGTATAAGCTAATTTTCTCCATTTTAGGTCCTGTACCTATTGAAAAAGTTGTCCACTTGGGGCTGAAAATACTTTGAAGCATTCAGGCTAGGGCACCTAAAAGAAAGACTTATGTTTTATCAAGTTTTTTTTAATTTGAAATTGTAATGCAAAAAATTATGTGGCAATTTTTAAAGGACTGTATTGCTTCTCCTGCCTCCCAAGGACTTTCCCCTAAAAATTACAATGTATTCATTATGTACATATTTCCAAAAATTATAAGACTGCTTTCTGTCAGGGTGTATGCACAATGGATGGCCATTTTATGCATGTGACTCATGGAAAAAATTTGTTCTAATGCAGGTGGTTTTGACTAACCAACACTGGTTTCCCATTGCTGTTTTCATAGGAAAAATATCCCTTAGCATTGGGAGTGGAACTTAAAACTGCAAGAATGGCATCAAGGAACATTAGATTTTATTTTTATTGAAGAATGCTTTCTCCTAACAGATGGAGAACTTGGGGTTAGATCTGAGTTCAAGCAGCCTCTAAACCAGGCCCAGACTTCTAAAATTATTTTAAACAAATCATTTAACACACTGGAACCTTATTTCTGCTGATCTACAATGGAAATGATTTTTCCATGGATATTCTGAATGGTTTCTTTGGCCTATAAGTGTCAGAGATGAAAATTAATCTGGGTGTGCACATGTAGTAAATCAAGCATTAATGTAAACTAGAATTCAAAATGCTACTTGATAATAGTAATGATATAATTAGAATGAGGAAAATACTACAGGGAGGGATATATTCTAGCACAGTGATGGACTTACATTGGTGACGTGTGCGTTACTTCATTTTAAAGACATTCAGAAATGACAAAAAAATATTTAGTTGGGTCGTGATTCAAAGGAGTATAATGAATTATAGCCAGAATAAACCAGAATTTTAAGAAAACACTATAAGGGAGGAACCCCCATCTTCTCATGAGTGCAACACAGAAGTTAATTTTTGGGCTATTTGAAATGTTTTATTGTCCAACACAGAAGATTTTCCATGATTCTTCAATTGACCTTCAAGGTTCACATAAGATTAATTTGTTCTCTCTGCACAGGAGCACTGGGAATATGAGTCTTTTTTCCGAAGTATCGTTCAAACATTTCCAATTAAGTGAAAACAGGAAAAACCTGTTATCCCCTTTTTTCCTGAAGTTTCAGCCAAAGGCAGACCGCTACCATTACTGATCCTGGACCGCCATCTGGTGGCATTTGGGAAAAATAAAATCAAATTTCACTCCTCCATGGGACCAAGGCTGCAGCACCGTCCTTCCCAGGGCTCCCGGAGGGCTGTAGGGTTGGATCCCTCCTCTCACATCCCGACAGTCAGGCAGAAGGAGAGGCTGAGATTATGGGATCTACCCAAGCCTTTCGGCTGACTCTGGGAGGATGAATACACCCTCAGTGTGTCTCTCCAAGGCAATGCATGTAAAAGCAAAGCCTTGCTGGGTCTCACTGGTGGATTTGCAGTCTATTTTAGGTATTTTTGTAGGTACATTCCCAAAGGTGAGAATACACAGCTGTCAACCAGTCAACATTGCCATATTTACAGCACAGGCATGAATTTGGAGAGAGCCCGTGATCCTCACTGTCCACCTGGGAGACTGAGGCTTAGGAAAATGAAGCACCCTGCCTGTGGTCACACAGAAGGACACCAGCTAAATTGAATAAATTGATCAGATTGAATCATAGAACTGTTGGGGTTGGAAGGCACCTTTAAAGGTCACTGAGTCCGACTCCCTTGCAATGGGCAGGGACAACAATGAAAGAAGCAGCATTCTGAAAGATAATAAATATTAGAGGGACTGGCCAAAAAGCAGGTCACACCATGTTGTAAAGGCAGTAAAATATCACAACAGAAGAACTCTTGTGGCTTCATTGTAATTCTGCAATACCAACCTCATAAGAAATTAAATTCAGATCTCTAAATCACTTACTATGCTTCTTGTCTGCAAGAAATTTAACCAAGCTTTATCTGATTATAAAGAGCAGCTTTGAGGGTACTATTTGTTCTTGTAAATCAGATTTGTCATGTTTTGAGAAACAAACGGGAAAAGTATATTTGTAGGAAAATAAGTGTTTCTGAGGGATGAGACAAGAAGGAACAAACACAGAGAAATAGACATTTTTCCTGCAGTCCTTATAAAACTAAGCTGTCTGGGACCCTTCACTAGACAATGGTACAAGATTAATGAGCTCCGTGCATGAAACTGTTTTTTTCTGAATATGGCAAAATGGATCCATAATAGTTATTTGTGACTAAATAAATAACAGGGCCCTGACTGGGTGATTGCCTGGGGATATGTACGCAGTCTAATTTAGTAATAATTTCCATCCCTCTCTGCTCAATGAACAAATAAACAACTCTTGCATGACAACTAAATGCTGATGCAACACTAGTAGCATTAATTAGAACTTATGGAAAATGTCACTAACAAAACAGAAAAATTAGAGATAAAAATTTTGTTGTGGCTGCAGCATACACTTGTAAATATATCCTGCTTAAAAATAAAAGAAAATGGACTTTTAAATTTATATTTGAACTTGTGGATTTTTGAAAACAATATACTGTGAAAGGTTTTGATCTCATTAGTCTCTGTTGGTCAGCCCTATTTTGCTTCATCTAACCAAAGCAAAATAAATTGTGGAATTGTCCTGAAGAATCTTCTATTTCTATTCTTTGGGTTTCTTGTCTCTGCTCTTCTTGACATAGGCCTTTGACTTCCTCATCTCTTCCTAAGGATAACTTTATAAGAATTTATTTGGATTTTCTTGCCATTCCCTAGAAACTTTCTACCTGAACAGCTCTTTAAGGCACTGTTGGGAGCAGAGGGTTAAAAGCAGCAGAGTGCAGAGGAGGATGCGAGATTCCAAGAGACCTTGCAGGTGGGAATGCTGAGGCCAGGAGAATATCAGTGTGGGAACACACCCCTTAGATTATGCCCACTGCTGTGTATCCTCTGTCTGTTTTCAGAAGTAGAATTTCTGTTTAGGGATAACGTAGGTGTTTTGAGGGACTTGGAGGCATTCTCAGGGGCTTGCCTGAGCTCCCTGCTTTGGGAGAGAGAAGATTAGAGCTCAGATATCATAAAAAGCACAGAGATCACAGCATGGTGGTAAGCTCCATGTGTGCGGGCCCTTGATAAGTGGGTGCAAAGAACAGCCCTGCCACCCCTCAGGGTGGACTGAATCTGATGGTTCCTGTGTTCCCACTCCTGTGTCCCTGCCCAGGTGCTGCTTTGGGATCCTCTGGTTAGCGAGGTAATTAAATAAATTTACTCTTTGCATTTCAGATGTAGTCGTGTGGCTGTTCTGCCTGCCTGCCTGTGTGGACTCCCAACAGCACCCAAACACCTTTTACTTGCTCTTACTCATTTTTTCTTACAGCACTTTTAAGGAACAGGTTGACATAAAGTACCTTGTGATCCTCATAATGTCAGGTTACTGCCTCCCTTTGGTGATAACTTAACCAGATTTTCTATATATCACAAAACACCTCCAGCCACCTCTTTACACCTTTTTACAAAACTTTGACAGGTGTAAGGTAAATTCACTTTCCATACAATAAGCCAAGACAATCCTTAGCAATGTAGGAAAAGCATATCCAGCTTTCTTATGAATTTAAACACTGACCAGGAAAGTGTTGCATAACCACATTACAAACACATAACCATGTTACAAACCAACCAGGCTGAAGACATCTTCCACCCTCAACTCTAACTGAATTACAGACAGGGATGCAGGATTCACAGGGATAGAAGGCACAACAGTGGGAAGAAGTGTGATACTGCAGCCTAGTGCATCCATCATTTATCTGGGATAAATAATTCCTGTATTTCAGTTCTTTGCCCTAAGGCTATTGTTGTGCTTCACATGAAACAGTCACATCTGCATCAATTTGGGATTAACTTTTTTTTTTTTTTCTCCTGTAAGGAATGTGAATAATGTCAATGGATATTTAACTACATTTTCAAGGCTTTCATTGTTATTCAAATTTCTTTATACACAGATTATTTCAGTCAGCTGTTCAATTACTTGAGAGCCTAAACCACAAATGTTCTGGTTTTAAAATGTGTGATATCAATGTATACATGAATGAAAAATTAAAAAGATGTTTTTGAGTCTAAGCATGCAAAATATAACTTCGGGTTAAAAAAGCATTTCATCCAATAAAATTCGAAAAGAATTTCAGAGGGATCATCAAATTCATCAGAGGCAGAGAGATAATGAACATAACCTAATTAATCTCCTTGCTGTAGCGAGCTATTTGCTAAGCACTTGAGTGCACACTAGATGGCAGCCCGAGTATGGTTGATTTCATCCTACTGCTTGTTCTCCTCCAAGAAAAGGTGGAATTGAGAAATATCCTTGGACTCAGTAGTGTGTTTTGGGAAAAATGGAACTGGGTGACGGGCCAAAATATGGGATGCTAAGTCTGCAATGTTCTTAGGTCCTCCCTCCAGTGTCACCATAGTGTAGATAGCATTAAGTAGAGGAAAGTCTCATTCCCAGCTAAATGCAAGTAATACCAGTAACAAATACCCAAGGGCAAAATAATCAAAATATTCAGGAATAAACTGTTTGCAGCTCAGATTTCACAACATGAAAATGAGAAACACTTCCTTGCGTTCCACTTCTTTGTGTTCCCCTTGCAGTATAGACAAAGAACAAGATGAAGAAGCTGGTCAGGACAGCCCAACAGAAACACTTACAGATAAGATTTGATCTCCTCGCTGCAGTTCTCCGCTGAGATCCGCTGGCCCACCTGCCAGGATGAAAGACACGAAAATGCCTTCCCCGTCTTCACCTCCCACAATGTTGAAACCAAGTCCTGTGGAGCCCTTGTGCAGGATGATTTTTCGAGGCTCTCTGTACAGAAACAAAATCGTAATGTTTAGGCACTCTTACTGCATATGCATTTTTCATAGCATCTTAAGCATACTGTATTTTGCTAAGACACTGTGGCCTTCTATTGTCTAAAGAAACCACGTAACAGATGACAAAGGTGTTAACTGGTGAACAGATAAGGTAGGAATTTTTTCCCCTCATGCGTTATTTTTTCCCCTCATGGTTGAATTCCAACATCTCTATTAATTTCACCCCATTGGAGTCATCTTCACTATGTTAAGTGACAAATTTATTAAAAGGAAAAACAAAACACTCAATATATTTAATAATCTAATTTATAGCAATACTATATATCCAGGTATCCAATCTTTATATAGTACATTTTATTTTAAATTCTAGTCTTGCTTTTGCAACAAATGAACAAAAAAACCTTACAACTCCAAGTAAAGTAACGGCAGCTGTGATCCTGACAGATTTGAGCAAATAATATTTATAAAATCAAGCTAATCCAGCAGAATCTCATTAAAAACTTTGGTGTGACACTATCAGGACCATGCATTTGTTAAGTCACATTGCAGCTTTATCACTGAACCAGCCCAAGGGGTACCTGCTTTTACCATGCTCATTAAAAACTATTAATTATGATAGAAATCAATAAATAATAACAGGTATATCTCACACAGCTCTTTACATCTGTAAATTGAAAAAATGACCCAGAGGATGTAAACATAACATGCAATTTACTGATGGGAATACTTATTTCCAGAAATAGGCAACTTTCCTAAGCCATCACGGCAGCATCCTTGAGAAAGGGTCCCAAATATTCTTGTTCCCAGTCTCTACGTACAAGGCCTCAGAGCTGGCTCTCCCTTGGACACACAAGCACACACAACCACATATACATACACACACTCGATGTTTATTGGTACTTACCCCATTTCAAATCCCTCTAAAATTTAATTTTCAGAAAAAGTGTAAATGCTGTTCAATTATGATGTATAAATATTAAGCCCAGCTCTGCAAGTCTCCCAAACACATACGTATCTGTGACTCCTCCCAGAGAAATAAAATGCTCTACTCATTCTTTAAGTTTTCCAAAAAAAGTTGCCAGCAACAAAAAAACACATTCTACAGAATGCTTCTTCTATAAAAGATTCAATATTTCCCCCATATTATAGCACAGTTCTGCATCACACAAATGGATCTTTCATTTCCGTTTTGTTTTTAAAGAACAGAGAAAAAAGAAAAAGAAATTATTAAATTGAGTGATGCCTTATTTGATACAAGTTTAATCTTATGAATACATGGAGACTTTTTCTTGATATGATACTTAAATCACAGGCATTTGTTAATCTTTGCTCAGTGCTAATATTGAAATGGTATCCCCAACTTGATTATGATGTTAAAGGAACACCTCAGCTTTCTGAAACTGAAGTTTCATGTACTTCAAAGAGAAGACTAAAGCAAAGTATTCGCCCTACTCAATATGGTCCTTCCTCCCTTGACGTTTTTAATGTTGCAAAGTCAGAAAACAGTTACAAATACAGCTGCGAGCAAAAGATATATTTCATTGAGTTTGTGTATTTTTGAAGTATTTTTAAGAATCAGAAAATAAAGGTAGAGGGGTTTTTTCCTTTCGCATCACTGCTGTTGATTTGCCTTGTAGCAACTCCTTTAACACCTTGTTAAATATGTGCAGAGTAGACATAATGAGATCCAAAATCTAAGAAGTCTAAGCAGGTTTTTAATTAGAAGAGTGGCCTGGGGGTTGCAGCAGAACTAGGACAGTGAGCTGAAAGCATGGTTTCTCTTCTCTGCTTAGCCCATGCTCTGCTGAGTGTTCTTGGCAACTCATTCGTTCTCCCAGCTTCAGTTTCCTCATCCACAAAATGATACGGTGACACTTGTCATCTTCAAGTTCTACTCGTCAGAAATACTTTGGAAGAGTTGAGCAGCTGCCATTTATTATTTACCAGAATATTGAAGAAAAAGAGACAGCAAAGTCAAACCAATATATTTGCATGCTCTGCTGGTGAGAAATCAGAAGAGATCTTGTTCAAAATAAAAATGAGTATTTTCTCATATGACAGGCGGCTTGGATCACATAGTTGAAAGCCAGGGCCATGGACAAAACTAGGTCAATACAACTGGGTATCTACTGAATAGTAAGCTGTGCAGCTCAACAAAATGTTGGCCCAATTATTAATCCCTGTCTCTGATCAAGTCAGCAGATTTATGCCTCAAGTGCTGCCAGTGCTGTTTTATAATTTTGGCCTTTTGACAGCAAAATTCACATTCTACTCTTGGATGATTATGTTCAGAGGAAGTTCAGACAATAAGGGGAAAATGTCAGAAGGTGTGATTAGAATGCAATGGGTTTCCACCCCTGCTCTTTTACCTAATCAGATCATTTGTATTTCTTTCATAGCTGAGTACCCTGCAGAATCTGAAATGTGGACTCAAGAACATCTAAGTGCTATTGTCATTATAAAAATAACCTTTAGTCCTTACTGTACTACAACAGCTACAGGAAGTAGAATGTATATGCTAATTCACCTTAATATAATAAATATGTTTTTAAATATGTAATTTTTCACATTTGCATAGTGTAATTAGAATGACAACGAAAAAAAGGGCTAATGATGGTAAAAAAGTTGATATAAAATTTATGAAGTCGAAGTAGAAAATTATTTCTTAAGGAAATCAACTACAATACTAGCCACTGACCAAGTAATCTCTTAAGAGTGATGCAGCAATTAGTTACCTGCCAATGCTTTGGCAGGTAACACTCACTGAAATGTCTAAGCTGAAGATGAGGATGTTACATATTTATCACCTGGTATAAATGTTACAGTCAGCCCTTAATATGATATTTAAGGAGGTCTAAGAACAGCTGTTCCAATTTTTCTTGAATATGTGGGAAACAACACTAGGAAAAATTCCTTTGCCTCTGTGAAAAATTGGTATGAATGTAGTTCATTGAGAGAATGAGAGACAAAATGTTCTTGAGTTCTCATGAGAAAAAAGACAAAATGCAGATAAATGCTGTAAAGGAGATGATAGAATCAAACACTTAAAGATGACATGATGATGGGAGAGTTGAGAACTGAAAGAAAAGTAACTCAAATGTGAGTGATGCTTGCTTGTAGTTAATGCACTCATAATGTCCAGCTGTCTGCAGAAAACAGCAACTAAGGCAGAACTTATTTGAAGATGGGGGTGGTTGGGCACTGAACAGGGTCCCCAGGGAAGTGCTCACAGCACCAGCCTGACACAGCTCAAAGAGCATTTGGACAATGATCTCTGGCACAGGGTGTGACACCTGGGGATGTGCTCTGCAGGGTCAGGAGTTGGACTCAGTGATCCTTGTGGGTCCCTTCCAACTCAGCTTGTTCTGTGAAAATGTTTCATTTGGATACAATAGATGGCACTCTGTAGCTGTCCTGTAAAAAGGAGCAGTCTAACATCCAGTGTTTCTGAAATTCATGTTTCAGCCTCCAGCTTTAACTATTTATCCCATTTACAATTTCTTCTGTGATAAATACAGCTGAAGGTAACTTTGTAGGTGTTAACAGAGCATACTAGCACTTTAATTTGGTGTGTGCATGTTTTATACCCTCCTGCAGCTCTCTACCACATACAAACAGAGCAGAGCAGCAGGGGAAATCAAGCAGAAATTAGAAAGGAGTGCGAGATGAAAACATTCCTGGACTGACAGAAGGCAGCAGAAGGGAGGGGCGAAAAAAAGAGAAGGGAAAAAAGGAAAGAAAAGAGGAAAGAAGAGAGAAATCAGAATAAAGGGAGGCAATACCTCTGCAAAGGAGATCAGGGAAGGAAATAAAAAGGTAGGGAAAGAAGAAAGGAAGATTTACATTAATAGATCCAGGAGTAAAGGAGCAAATAAAGTGCTGCAATCCACACAAATTTACAGGCAGAGAAATCAATGGCAGAATCAATTTGGATGGACTTGGTTACTTGCTTTGGGGAATGCATCAGATCAGATTCTGTAAATCACATTACAAACTGCAGGCCTGATGTAAGAGAAAAGGATTACTAAATTAATATTTGAAAACAATAAGTAGTAACAAAATGTCAGCACTTAAGAAAATGTCTTCTGTCATAAAAATGCAGTGACCAAAAATAAATCAAAGTGCAGCATTTTTCTCCTTAGGAGGTTTGTTTGGTTCATGCATGTTTAATTGGATCATTATCTTGAAAACAGCAAGTGCTTTTTATTTACTACATTTCTACTGAATATTTGGTTTGATCAGTTTACTTTTAACAAACAAAAAATGACAAGACAAAAAAATGTGACTACTACTATCGTTCTTCTATAGACTGGAATCCATAGTAATTATAGATCTAATTTAAGAGATTAAAACTGGACTGATAAATGATGGGGAAGTGCTTTCTAAAAACAAGTAATTCTTATAATAATTAACTGCAAGAAAATCCATGATTAAATTGATTTTTTTTGTGCTGCTGGCAACATTCAAGAAAAGAGTCAGTTTTAGTATTCATCTCAATTGACACAGCTCTTTCTGTTCCTTTTGTACCATCTATAAAATTGGAGTGCTGACACGTTTTGTGCTTTTTGAAATACCTACAGAAATATCAAGCTACACTGGGTGCTTTCAAACATCAGACTCTAGGAATTTCTTCAGTTCTATACAATCAATGAGGTATCTCAAGTCTGCAGAGGGTTAGAAATATGGCTTTGATCTTGATTTGGCTGCAGTTTTTTTGTTATGGCTTTTGATTTTTTTTCCTTTTTGTTGGTTTTTTGCCTTTCCTCCTCCCCCCAAACTGCCATTTTCTTGACAAAGGATGTTGAAAGCATACATAAAGTCTTTGTTGCTCTGGTGTTACAGTACCACAGATCACAGAAAGCCCAGAAGATATATTTATCTTATCATTTGCATTAGGGTGGCATCAATATACAAGTCAGGGCCTACAACCTTTGGACTCTTACATAGTGCAAGAAAACCCATCCCAGCTACTTGAATGAGCAAACAGCAGGA